ATCGAATTGTGAGCAAACTATTATGACTGTACTGCATGTTTCTCCACTTATGTTGGAATGTAATTATTCTAAATGTTGATTGTAATTATGATGTATTCTGTTTGTCTTTGGAATTAGAGTAATAGTTAGACAGACACCAGGGATAGTTTTCTAATATATTACACTCATGAGCAAGTGAAATGTTTTTGGTCAGTGTAGTTGTGAATTTTGCTAAAATCGGTGTAATCGGTGTGTGCCATGGTTTCCTTTATCCTTAGATAGTAATCCATTGCAATCGGAAATCACCTGTATTGTTCTAACTGCTTTATATTGCTGAATGGTGCAATATGGTTGCTGTAGGATAGTAAAAATCAATAAAGTAGAGCTGAACTCAGAAAGTCAATATTTGCTGTGTAATAGGGAACATTTAGATATGTTTATTGTACCTAAGCACTAGCAGTACCCTAAAAATCTACCCTTTCTCTTGAGTTCTTCCTGAAAAATAGTAGTGCACTTCCCAGTATGTGGTGGTTCCTAGACACTTCTGTGTTTATAGTCTTACAGCTGTATATCTGCAGTGTAAGATCTTAGGCACTGCTGCCTCTAACTGTGTGTCAGAAAATTCAGAGTCAGATTTTGTGATTTACCTTCTGTGCTACTCACTGTTCTGCTTGTTGGATGCTCTGATTTGAGGAAGTAAAACACTGCCTCAACTAAAATGGCAACTTCCACACAGAGACACAGTTCAAAACAAGGCATGGTAAGTCAGAAATTGGGGGAAAGAGCAGCTGCAGAAAGACCACAGGCAATACTGGTGACTAGTCATTTGGCCTCTGCATTTTTTGGGCACAGCTTCCAAAGAAAAAAGTAGAACTCAAGCCAAAACTTTTTTTTATTTTTATTTTTGGATAAAATGGAGAGGGGTTACAACAACTGTCAGGTTTTTATTGCTGTCTGTGTCCTCATTAGAGAGATTCCCTTTTTCTGTTTGTCTTGATGACTTATCACTGAAACTGAAAAACATTCGAAAAAAAAATAGACCAAAAAATGACATGAAAAAAATTAAAAATCATACCGCCAGGGAGGTTAAAGCAGGTTTTTAATACTTTTTGTAGAGTTGGCCATGTTCACATCTGAGTGTTTTGTCGCCTGTAGCAAAATGCCCGTCACTTGAAGATACAAACTCACATACATAGGTTGAACTGGATGGACCTTGGTCTTTATTCAACCTTACATACTTTGTTACTATGTTACTATGTATATGAGCTTCTTTTTGGCTGCACTTCTTGGCCCCATAGACTTCAATGGAAGTGCTGAAAAACTTGCGTTTGGTGCATTTGTGCACGCGTTTTACACGCATTTGTTCATTTACATACGTGTGTTATGATTTGCTCGCAAAAACGCGCAACTATACGTGTGCATTTTAAATACGTAGTTGTATCACTGATCCAAAAAAAGAATGGTGGTTCCTCATATTTTCTCAGCACAGATTTCTTTTACAAATATAATCAAATTTTGTTTTAATTAGCAGCTTAACATTATTATTCTGAGCAGGGTTTCCTCGTCAACTTAATTACTGAAAATGTTAAATGATACAGATAATCTCCAAATTACATTCTTCACCTTGTCATGCATTTTCCTGTGTTTTCTGCTGCAGGTAAAAATGCATAGATGAAAATCCATTGTTTTCACTGTAGTCAGTTCACACAAACATCCTGTATTTTGTTCTCCACTAACATGAATTTTCAGTTCAAACTGATGGAAAGGGGTGTTTGAAAATGTATTAAAAGCAGATAATAACATATAAATAAATCCACATTTATGAATGCATTTTAAAGGGTTAAATCTACCCAAAGGTTACAGCCCCGGGCTCCTTATGTGTTTTACATACTCAAGGAACAAGATCTCCCTGCCAAAATTCCAGGTTCTGTTCCTGTCCACCTGGGGGTTTTCGGTAGTGCTACTTACCTATGCCTGATACAATTTCTCCCTTTACGTTTTCTATAAGTCCCTATTTACAACTGAGCGCTTCGTGAAAGTGCGTCAAATGTGCACAATGCGTCTTTGCAAAACACGCCAAAATGCAAAATGTGCTTGCTGTGCTATTACCAGTTAATAGCACCCCACACACAGGAGGGAAGATGCGTGTTTTACCCCCACATTTGGTGTGTTAATTTCGCAGATTTTGCTACATGTGCTACTCTTCTGCTACTTTTCTGCATTTGTTCCGCATGCAGGAATCCATTGAAATCAATGGGGACGTGCGGCAAACATGGAAAACAAACGCATACAAACACACATGAACGCGATGCGTGTTCCCACTACACTCAGGTGGGAATGGGGACTAATATAAAAAATGTTAATCATTGAACAGGGAGAGTGGGAACTCTACACTCCAAGACAGATGTAAGAAATGATCTTGCAGTTTGAAGCTAACCTTCAGTCACAACTAAAATGCAAATGAATGCAGCTAATTCAGTTTATGTATTGACTAGAGGCAGTGTACATAATTTGACTTTGTATCAGCCTGTTGCTGCCTTTAAACAGGAGTGCTCAGAATGGGAGAGTCACAATTTTGCTGCATTACTAACAGTGGACATGCTGACAAGAGGAGAGAGCAGAGTGACATAGTGATGTGCTTATCAGTCTGCTTTTTCTCTTATCTCTGTCCAGGCTGGGGGAGGACATGTAACTGTACTTAACTGCAGCAGAGAAAAATTCCATCATCTGCCCTGACAGACAGAGCTTTGACATCCTATTAAACCTTCAATGTTGTAGAAAAAACTTCTTCCTCACTGTTCTGATATGTAGAAACTTACAACCTATTACACAGGATCTACTACTTGGTCTATTAGGTATTAAGGTTTATAGGTACTATGTACGGTGCTATGTTATGCTTTAGAGCAGTGGTAGCCAAACTCCGGCCCTCCGGCTGTGGTGAAACTACAAATCCCATGATGCATCTCTCTCCGGGTGTCATGTCTGAGGCTGTGAGGATCTTGCAATGCCTCATGGGATTTGTAGTTCCACCACAGCTGGAGGGCTGGAATTTGGCTACGAATGCTTTAGAGAATAGCATTGTAAGTCACTATTAAAATCTATCCTAGAATTTAATATCAGATGCTGCAATTAAGTATTTATACAAATCAAATGCTTTATATGTAACTTTTACTTTGGCTGTGGCTGTTCAAGTAAAGAAAATTGATGAGCAATAAGACATTTCAAGCAGCCCAAAAGCCTGAATTTCCTCCAAGAATAAAATGTAGAGCTATCCAACATGTGCATTGTATTCCAGCTGGTGAAGATCTCAAATCACCACCCACAGTACTTGCTTACGTCTTTATAGGATTACAGGATGTATAGGGTTTTGAGTGGCCTATGTGTTAATAGCCCACTTAAACTAAAGTCATTTAGAAAGTACTGCCAAGTCAGCACAAAGGAATTCCTCTTAAATCTGGGGGATGAAAACTACAATTGTTTCCTATTCCCCATATAAAACTTCACCTTTTCTTGCAGTCCCTCTGCACACACTAGTGTAGATCCCACTAAAGGTGTAAATGGTCTCGTTAACATCTGAAACAGCTGTGGAAGTCATTGACCAATGTTATACCTTTTTATGGATTTGCTTACTGGTGTTTTCCTCCAGAATTTCTTATCCATCTGTGCCTGTGTCCCGTAATGTAGCTTTAACAAGTTCAGGGGGAACCTCTGCTTGCTTAAAAAAAACTGAGAATAAACATAATATGCCAAATAAAAGTAAAACATTTGATTATTAAGTCAATAAAATGTTCAGTACTACTAGAGGAATAACACTACTTACAGAGGCAGAAACTTCGTAAATGTTGGATTAACAGGGTCTACCTTAAAGAATTAGTGCTGGGCTTTCTGATTAAAAAAAAAGCCCAGCATGCTGTTCAAACACAGGTTTGTGAGTGTACCATATAAAATATTTAATACAAATATTTAAAACATAAGCAACAGTTCATACAGAACATTTTGAAATACAACTGACAAAACATCATTATAGTTAGTAAGGTGACAGTTTCTGAGGTTCTTTGTAAACCTGATGAAACAAAGTTGAGGAACATCACTCTAAATTATGTTCCGTTTTCTGGTCCCTCTATCCTTTGTCCAATATTTCCTAACTTTGATCTATAAGGACCACTAATAGTGCTTTCTTTTCAGGCCTGAGGATAGTCATATTTATTAGTGACGTTTACAGAGCCATAATAACACATACACCTGTGGTTTTTGTTAAGAGATCTGGGAAACATGAACTGTTACTGGTCCCTAGGGGACTCTTTGAGGGAATAGTGCCTTGCCTGATGTTTACATATGCTTTCTTGGCCTATATAGTTTTGACATACAGTGCAACAATAAAAGGGAATGAAGGTTTTGGCAATAACTCAGTTGGGAAGACATGTTTTCCTCAAAGAATCCTGGGATTTCAAAAATCATTTACACGAGGCTAAATCTCTTGGGCTGCAACCTGCTTGAGGTAAACTTGCCTTAAAAAATACCAAATAGTTCACCTAAAGGGTTATTTACTAAAGAGCCAAAGGATCCAGCCGCAGCTTTGGCTGATCCTTCGGCTCACTTCTGCTGTCGGAGCCCTTCGGTTCAGTCGAATCAAACGTCTGCTCTACGGGCTATTCACAATAGCCCGTACAGCTGCTGAAGGCAGCCTGAGCGGTTCAGCTGATCCAAATGCATATGCTTCGGTTCGGCTGAGCCAGGCGAAGTGCGGAGAACGGTCAATTTCCCCTGCAACTGACAACAACTAGGTGGAGCCAGCCAAAATGTCACAGCTGGCTCCTCCCAGTTGTCCTCAGGTTATTTGAGGACACTGGGCTACAGTTGGCTGCAATTGGGCGGAGCTAGCAGTGATATCATTGCTAGCTCCCCCCAGTGGCGTCACAAGGGGGGTGCGGGCGCTGGGTGACTGTCCCCTCCTCTCTCTGCAAGGCGTCCATCACCAAGATGGCCGCCGGCAGGTATCAGAAGATAGGCGCGCATGCGCTATGACGTCTCAGCGAGTGGGCGGGGTGACACCCGGTAACCGCTCCGGGTGTCACCCAGCCTCGGGACGCCCCTGGCTCCACCCAATTGTGTCAATCTGTCAGATTCTTCATTTTGTGGCGGAAGTTCGTTGCGTGCGTGCGGTCGGGTCGACGGACGTTGATTTTTTTATTTATTTAGCCGAGACGTCGTCGTGGTGGACAATGCTGGACATCGTGATTGACTTTAGGATTACGTCCAAATCCAAATTTTTAGATTTTTTTTTACAATAAAGGACTTTTCAAAATATTTTTTTGTGTTTTTTTTTTCAATTAAAGGATTTTTTCTAAAAATCTGGTCTTTTTATTTCTATTTTATGTAACCCTTTAGTGAATAGGGAGGGGTACAAGTGCCCCTTACTCATTCACAAGGGGGGGTGCATCTGGGTGCCCCTTTATTAAAGGGGTACCTCGATGCAAATAAGCCACCCTGCCCACAGACCCCCCACAACCAATGCCTCAGGGCTTGTGGGGAAGAAGCCCTTGTCCCCATTTGCACGGGGACAAGGTGCTTTTCCGGTGGGACCCAGGAAAAGCACACTCCCAGTTCCAAGGACATGTAACCTGGTATGGCGGGGGGGCACTCCCTTGTCAACCCCCCCCCTCTTTCCTGCCCTGACAGGCCTGTGCTCGGATCAAGGGTCTGGTTATGAATTTTAGGGGGGACCCCACTTTTCCCCCCCAATTTTTTGGGGTGGGGTTCCTCCTTTAAATTCCTACCAGACCTAAAGGGCCTGGTAAGACTTGGGGAGAACCCCACACATTTTTATTTTTTTTAAATAGGGGTCCCTCCTAACTTTCCTACCAGACCTAAGGGTCTGGTATGGTTTGGGAGGGGGACCCCACGCTGTTTTTTATTTGCGTTTCTTTACATTTTTTTAAAAGATTTTCTTAACTTTAAAATAAAAAAATGTTTTACATTTATTTAAATAATTTTTGTAACTATACTTTTTTATACTTTTGTTTAAATTTTTTTTTAGTCTGCTCGCTACCTCGGAGGTAGTGAGCAAAATGGCCGAGCTGATCCGAGCAGAATGCCTATGAAAATAGGGGCGAAAGGCAGCGAGTGAACTGCCGGAGCTTCGGCTCAGCCGATCCAGATGGTGGATCGGCTGAGTCAAACGGCTTCTGCACTTCGGCTCAGTGAACATGCAGAGCATGCAAGCCAGCCAAAGGCAGCCCATGTACGGCTGATTTTAGTCAATGTAGGACTGAAATCAGCCGTGCTGAGCCGAAGTGACTAGCCGAATGCCGGTTGGCTCAGTTCACTTCGGCTTGATTAATCACTTGGCTGCCTTTGGCTGCTTAGTGAATAAACCTCCTAGTGTTTAGCAAGAACCCCTAGTGCCTTACCTTACTTTCTTCTCTCCTGTCCATCACCCCAATCTGCACTGTAGCTACCTCAAAAATATAGTGCTTCCATATATAGAGCAATACTTTATCCTGATGTGTATCCTCATAATTGTACATGTTCACACCAAGTGGAACAAAGGGTTAATGGCTAGCAGTTCTGCCAACAACATGCACCGCTGACCACCACAGAAAATGTACAGTTTAAATTTGTCTCTGGTTAAGTCATGCCACTGCCATCTGGTCAGTGCAAAGTAAGTTTATTTGGCATGGCAGAGGGGATGATTCGGTAAAGGGACAGTAGGTTAACTATGTCTGTGACCTATTTTAAAAGAGTATGTGGATGCATAGTAAAGCAGCAGTAAAAGGTAGCTCCATGTGTCTATATTGCAACACACAGAGACAACCTGTTCCTGCAATATCACATCTAGCTGTGTAGAGTTTGTATATAGATACTGTTGCCATAGGTTGTCTCTGTGTGTTGCAATATGGACATGTATTTATGGCTATGAATATGTCATGCTGAAGGGGAAGACAACAAGGACTGTACAAAGGCTGAACTATTAGACAAAATCAGGTAGAGCTTCCTTTTCCACCTTTTTGTGCATAAAATATAATACACAATAAATCCCCTTTTATTGATTCCGCTACATATTAAATATAACATAAAGAAAACTATTTACTCAAAATATATAAACTTTAAGTAAAATAAACAATCCATTTAATGTCGTCTTAAATACACCGGTTTTTGTGCAGTTCACTTCTTAGAATTGGACAATTACCCCTCAGTTTGCCTTTCTAATAGTGATGAGTTTCGAACAAATTAAATCGATTTTGGAACTTTTATTTTACTTTCTAATCATTGATGCGGTGAAACCGATGATTGGTTGCGACCACAATGATGAAAAAATTCACAGGAGTATGTTGCTCGATCAAACAAAATTCTAACAGTAAATGTGGTTTTTGTTCATATAACTCCTTTAATTCCAAAATCAAATATTAAATAAAAATTTAAGTCAAAGGAAATTTCGAACAACAATCTCCAAGTCTCTGAAATTTTTCATACGAACGTTCGCGCACAAATCTACCCATGTACAGTATGCAGGCCCGAGGGGTATTGTGCCATGATGCCTTTCTACTGTACCACTATTGTGGAACCTAGCCTTGGGGCGGCAGGTGGAGTAAATCCGGCCCTGACAGTATACCCTACTTTAGTCCAAACCCAGTTTGATTTAGTTTGCCTAAGCCCATGCCAGCCACCCTCCCAGCTCAATCAGTTGTGGCAGGAGCGTTTCCTACCTCGGGTTGTATCAAGCACAGTCTTGTGTGGGTTTGGGCAAACTCAAGTGAACTTTTTAAAGTCAACACTACCGCTCATAAGTACAAAGTTTTTCCATTTTTTCCATATATAACGGTGTTCATTGTCAAGATGAGTGATGAGCCTGGACTTGGTTGGAACTCTGTTCTCCCAAGCCCACTTAAAACTGTGACTGACACACCCCCTCCTGGCCCAATCAGTTGCAAAGAGGTGCATTCCCTGCCTTGCAGTTATACTTCACAAAGGGGCGGGGGAATGACCGCAACTGCCCCCACTGTGCATACAGTGCATACATTGATTTTGACTTGGACCTATAGGAGTGCACCTACCATTAAAAATTAACCGTATACATCTTTATTTTACAGGCATGTGAAGATTCCTATCCACTGGATCACTATTCACAAAGCCCACTTTGACTCTCTTTTTGTCAGTAAACCTGGGAAACCACTATTATTATTATAGAGGATTTATATAGCGCCAACAGTTTGTGCAGTGCTTTACAATATAAGAAAGAGAATACAGTCACAATGCATTTTAAGACAAGGTGGTAGGGGAGGGCCCTGCCCGTGAGGGCTTACAATCTAAAAGGGAGGGGCAAGTGATACATGAGGTGGTAGCGGTGTGGGGAGGAGTTGTTTGAGAATGTGATGCAGGGCCGTCTCTAACGTGGGGCAAAGTGGACACTTGCCCCGGGCCCTGACATGGTTGTGGGGCCCAAAGCAGCTGCCCCTTGAGCCCGCCGCGGTCGTACCGTAGAATCAGCACAGGAAAAAAAACCTTCCTGCACATGGGCAGGAAGGTACCAAAACATCACATTAGATGGGGGGGTTGGGACGTCCCAAACCCCCATCCAATGTGATGTTTTGGTACCTTCCTGCCCACGTGCAGGAAGGGGTTTTTTTCCTCAGGGGCAGCCGCGGAGCTCTCACAGCTGGAGGTTGAGCGGCAGACCCTGTGTGTAGTCAAGTCACTGCACTGGTAAGGTAAGCCAGTAATGATCTGGAGCTGGGGGGGGAAGGAACAGCAGCAGCTGCTGAGTGAGATGAGTCTGGGGCTGGCTATGGGGATAGCAGCAATTGAGGCTTGATGTCTGGCCTGGGGCTGGGGGGGACAGCACAGCAGCTTAGTTTATGTGGCCGACATGGGGGGGGGGGGCTTTCTGCAGAGATCACCACAGTAAAAGCAAGCAGCTGGCCTGGAGTCCAAGTGTGAATAGGGGCCGAACCTGGTTAGCACGCTCCTGCCAGCTCCCGCCCCCGAGACACGGCCAGCACAGTACTGGTGAGTGGCGGCCTGGAGAGCCTTGAGGAGAGCGCTGTGGAGAGCGCTAGTTTAACCAGGGCCCTGTGGGGTCTCACTAGGGCTCTGTGGGGTCTCACCAGGGCTCTGAACAGTCCTGGTAAGCCCCACAGAGCCCTGGTGAGACCATACAAAGCTCTGGTTTAGCCATGGCTCTGTGAGGGCTCTGTGGGGACTGGTTAGACCACACAAAGCCTGGTAAAACCCCACAGAGCCCTGGTTAAACCAGGGCTCTCTAGGGTCTCACCAGGGCTCTGAACAGTCCTGGTAAGCCCCACAGAGCCCTGGTGAGACCATACAAAGCTCTGGTTTAGCCATGGCTCTGTGAGGGCTCTGTGGGGACTGGTTAGACACCACAGAGCCACCAGCACCAGGTTTCTGTAGAGTCTCACCAGGGCTATGTGGGGTCTCCCCAGCCTGGTTAGACCCCTCAGAGCCCTGGTGAGATCCCACAGAGCCCTGGTTAAACCAGGGCTCTCTAGGGTCTCACCAGGGCTCTGAACAGTCCTGGTAAGCCCCACAGAGCCCTGGTGAACCCCCACAGAGCCCTAGTTTAACCAGGGCTCTGTGGGATCTCACCAGGGCTCTGAGGGGTCTAACCAGGCTGGTGAGACCCCACATAGCCCTGGTGAGACTCTACAGAAACCTGGTGCTGGTGGCTCTGTGGTGTCTAACCAGTCCCCACAGAGCCCTCACAGAGCCATGGCTAAACCAGAGCTTTGTATGGTCTCACCAGGGCTCTGTGGGGCTTACCAGGACTGTTCAGAGCCCTGGTGAGACCCCACAGAGCCCTAGTTTAACGAGGGCTCTTGGGGGTCTCACCAGGGCTCTTTGGGATCTCACCAGGGCTCTTTGGGATCTCACCAGGGCTCTTTGGGATCTCACCAGGGCTCTTTGGGATCTCACCAGGGCTCTTTGGGATCTCACCAGGGCTCTTTGGGATCTCACCAGGGCTCTTTGGGATCTCACCAGGGCTCTTTGGGATCTCACCAGGGCTCTTTGGGATCTCACCAGGGCTCTTTGGGATCTCA